AGAAGGCTGCGCAGCCACAGGAAGGGGCAGGGGGGAGCGCTCATTTCCTGGCTCCTGAGCAGCCGCAGGAAGGGGCAGGGGGAATGCTCCTGTGCAGGAACTGGGAGATGAGTGCTCCCCGGCCCGGAGGCTGGAGGCTGGCGGCTGCACAGCCGCAGGATGGGGCAGAGGTGCGCTCTCATTCCCCCGCCTGGAGGTTGTGCGGCTGTGCGGGAACCAGGTGGAGTGAGTGCTCCCCCGTCTGAAGGGTGGCTAATTCCCCACCCCAACCCGTAGAAGCCTTCCCCCCATGCACAGTTTGAAAAAAAGTATTGTTTACCCTGCAGGTTATACTCGTGCGCGGGGTATACAAGATTTTTTTTTACTCAAACTGCAAAAACTGCAGGGTATATTCGGGTGCAGGGTATACTCGGGTGCGGGGTATATTTGCTAAAAGATGGTAATGTGTGTGTTTTTAGAAAAACGTCTGTAGCATTTCAATGGAATGGCTGCAACCCCCTCTATGTGGAGTATTGGCAAAGCAAAACAAGCTCGGCTATTCCAAATAACATTGCAGGTTGGACATCCCTGGTCTGGTATCCTCAAGACATATGTGGTCCAAAATCAGGGAGTATTCTGGATCAGGGAAGGTCAAGACTCCTCTTCTGGCCATCTGCTCTGCTCCTGTATGCCAGCCCCAACTGTGGGCCCTGTTGCTGCCACCTGCCCCAGCCAACGCTGTGCTCCCAGCCACAGGCCCAGGTTGCACTTCTGGCCTGCTGGCCCCACTGCCGCCAGCTGGGGCTGTGTCCTGATTCTGTCCATCCCCATTCCCAGCTGGCTCCCTGCTACTTAAGTATTTGCAAAGCTCAATATCTAAATGCAAGAAGCCTTCTGACATGTATCTCCTTTTTTGGATGAGAACCTGGCTACAATGAAACACACGTGCTCCAGCCATTATTGTAATTTTGGCTCCCAGTGACCATTCAAAGTAGGTATAAATTAGAACAGGTTGAGCACTGCTCTTTTATAGTGCAAGGACAAAAGTGTGTACAGGATACTGTGAGGATTAGATTAATAAAAGGCTCGTTGTAAACCCAACTGTGCTTACCATCCACTGATTGTGGTTGTACTGGAGATCTAAACCTCTATTTGAAATACAGTTTTAAAACTTAATGCATGTTTTGCAGTATGATTGGACAGTAATTTATTGATTTTCCTTGTAGTACAGAAATATGTATTGAAAAATAGAAGCAAGGTTCCCAAACTTAATAAGAATGTTTCAAATACTGGTAAAACTTTGTAGTGCATATCCGAGAGACAAGTAACAATCCAATATAAATATATTTCTACAGATATGTTATGAACTGATGTCTATTCTCTTTTCAAAAAGTGATTTATTTAAGAATCATTGAAAATCATCATGTCACTTCTGTCTATGCTGCTTTTTATATTTACTTGTTATTTATGATGTTGTATACTGCCACATTCTCCTTAGCCTATACATCTTGGTAACTCATTCTTATGTCTCTTCTTTTCTATGAAAAGAAACTATCGGAGACAGAGGTATGTGATAAATGTAAGGTGAATACATCCTCTAGAAAGGCTTGAAATGATGATTATTTCTATGTTTTTTCCATTTTTGTGATAATGTGAATTTCACAGAGACTGCATGTAGACTTCATCATTTTTATGTATTTTGGCATTATGTTCCTAATGTGCATTACTTTGCATTTATTAATGCTGACTTTTGTCTGCCATTTTGGTACCCAGTCAAATAGTTTTGTGAGAGCGCTTTGTAACTGCAATCAGTTTGGGACTTAACAATCTTGAGTGATTTCATATTGTCTGCATATTTTGCTGTCTCATAGTACACCCCCTTTTTCAGATCATTTTGAGTATGTTGAACAGCACATGTCTTAGTTCAGCTCTTTGAGGGACCCAACTATTTATTTCCATTGTGAAAACTGACTATTTATTTCTACCCTTTGTTTTAACCAAGTATGATGACTTTCCCTCTTATTCCATGACAGTTTACTTTGCTTAAGAGCCTTTGGTGAGAGAACTTGTCAATGGCTTTCTGAAAGTCAGAATACACAATATTGACTCTTATCCACATTCTTGTTGACTCCCTTAAATAATTCTAATAAGCTGGCAAGGCATGATTTCCCTGTACAAAAGCCATGTTGATTTTTCCCCAACAAATTATGTTCATCTGTGTGTCTGACATGAAATTACAACTACTTTGGCAGAGGACAGGGCAACTTAAATCTTGAAAATATCAAATGAAACTCAGCCTATACCAAGGCAGAATTAGTATGAGAGCCTTTTGGTATACGATTATATATTTTAAACATGTGAGAAGCTTTTGAAATTTGAATCTGGAAGTGAAAGAAGTGAAGGAAATCTTAATTGAGGAGTCACATTTTTAGGAGTTTCTGTATTTCTGAAAGTCAAGTGAAAGTGGGCCCGCTTTCTGGTTAATGACCATTTTTATTAATGGTGACAAACAGAAACAAACACCTTGGAAGTACAATGTTGAATAGATAATGGAACATTTTCTTTTAATGATTAAATCAACAGTCAAGTTATTCATTTGAATTAGGCAGACATTTCTGACCTGCTAGAATTACCTCCAAAGGTCTGATAGCTATCAATTCACTAGGGGTGCATCTACACAGCACCCTTACCTCGAACTAAGATACGCAATTTGTGCAATGCAAATTGCGTATCTTATTTCGATTATATTTCAAAATAGTTTATTTTGAAATTTGGCACATCTACACAGTGTCAAATTTCAAAATGATGTGCTATTTTGAGACAGTCCTTATCCCTCATGGATCGAGGCATACAGGGTTGCCAGAATAGCATACCCATTACTTTGAAAAATATTTTGAAATAATGGGCATATTTAAAAGACACATCAGGTAGATATTTTGGGATACCTCCAGTATCCCAAAATAGCCCCGCTGTCTAGAAATACTCTATCAGAGGAAAAGTGGGATATGTTGGTAATAAACTGGAGGTTTTTCCTGAAACTCAGGCTAAAGGGTTGAGCAAGAAATGGATTCCATATTTTGATAGTTTTGATTTATTTCAGAAACATGGACCATTTTCATCTCTTCACAAAGAATTTGCTTCTAATTACATACATTAAAAAGGTTGTTTAATCAGAACGGAAATAAATTTTGGATGAGTAAAGGAGGGAACAGAACAGAAGGTGGGATTTAAAAGGATGACCAGATCATAAATCCCATAATACTTCTGGACTAGCAGCTTGTCATTGTCTTTCCTGTCTCTCTTTTGCTTCAAGCAATCACATGAGTAATACCTACTCAGAGACTACTTGTTGACAAAATGGATAAGAATTAAAAGTTAAAAATTGAAGTTAAAGGAAGCAATGATTTACATTTTAAATTAGGTGCGCAGATGACTATTTTAAGATAATGACTAGACTGTAGCCAAGAAACACTATATTTAAATAAATCTTAATCTGTACACAGTAGCACAAGAAAAAAGTTCCTGCTGGAATCTAAAATTACTCTTATGTAAACTTCTGATGAAGCGAACTCTAAAGATGCAGCAGTGCCAGATGATACCTTGAAACTAGAAACCATCATTCAAGCAAGCAGATGATGAAATCTTTAAAACCTGTGCCTTTAGCAAAGTGAGAATTGATGCAAATTAAAGGAAGTCAGTAGCATGTTGTGTTTCTCAGGGCAAAAATGTTCATTTTAAACCCACTTTGAAATCCAGTGGTAGATCCAACTAAAACCGAGTCTAAGTTACCAAACAACCTAGTCCTTTCACAAGCATTATATTTACTTGGAAAAATGTAAAATTCTGGACTTGCAGTTTATGCTTCTAGAGTACTAGAAGGCTTTAAAGTGAACCTTTTGTTGGAGATGAAAGCCAAGATTTTCAAACTGAACAGCAACTTTGGGTGTCCTTATTGGAGCCTGAGTTTAAGAGAATGGCTATACAGACTGATGGGCAGTTTCATCAGCTAGGGAATGGAAATAAAGTTCCAAGTCCTTTTAAGATTTTGTCTTCAGGATTTATTCATTCATTTGCTTTGAAACAAAAACAAAACAAGACAAAAAACCACCACCAACAAAAAACCCACAAATCAACTGAAAAACATTTGACAATAATTACCCAGAGTCTTTCCCTGAATTAGCCAGCCAGGAAGGGGGAACACACAACTCTTTCACTTCGCTCCTGTTTTACCCAACTTCTACTTCTTTCAGTCTCTGCCCTGCAAAACCAGATGACTGGTTGGTAACTATTCTTCATCTGAAATGGATCATCCAAAAACTGACAAACTCAAAACTAAACTAAGTTCTGAAAACTAGTCACTTTTGAAAATCTTCGCCAGAGTTTTCCAGTTAAAAGGCAGGTGTTGCAGAATTAAACCTTTGGCATTGCATTAAAAATATAAAGGACTTATCTTTCAAGTCTGAGGTTTTTATTAATATTCTTCTTGTGTGTAATTTAAGTTTCCTCATGTAGAGTATTATACCTGCCTCTTCTTCCTATACTAATATTTGTGTGTGCATGTCTTGTTTTCTAACCTTAAAATGTTTATTATGCTTTAGACAAATACCACAGGGAGATTATGTAAAAAAGCCTGGAGAGGCCGACTCTTTTTATAGCGACATGCCTCCTGGAGTCAGCACAAACTCTGCATCTAGTTCTAAGAAGAGGTCTGCTTTTCTGTCGCATTTTCAGATTTCTACCTGTTCCATCACCCATTATTCCATTAGTCAGAACATTTCATTGTTTTGCAGCAGGTTTGAGTCCTTCTTCCTTCTTTGTGGAATGTTAAAAATAGCATCTCTCATTCTTTGATTACTGATTGTTTTCACCACTACATAAAGGGCCCTAATATTAAAAATAAGAGCAGAATAAGTATAATTTGCATTGCTGTCCAAGATTTGCATAATCTAATTTTAAGAGTTTCTCTATTTGAAAATTGCTTTCGAAGAAGACTAATGTTCTTGGCTGATTCAAAAGCAGAAGAAAACAATAAATAAAAAGCTCTGTGAATTTTATATCATATTCTTGTAATCAAAGAAAATAGATGCTGTCATGCTTCAATAAAGTTATAAAAATAAGTGTGTGAATGTGAATGTTATTTTGTAACTTTATTTGTAAATGTCATTGTTAATTGATTTTATTTATAGTCAAAGTAGACATAGTGAATATTATAATTCTTGCTGACTTGCAGAAATGAGCATGGTGTTCATAGCTTATATAGATGTTATTTCTAGACTAATATACTAAACTATCAACCAAATTTTAATATAGGACTTGATCCTGAAAACACTTGTTCTTACTGTTGTGAGAAGTCCCTCAGAGTATTAGATTGTTAACCACTAATTTATAAAAATAACTTTTTCATTTGAAAAAACAAATAGTCCTGTGGCACCTTAGGGCATGTCTACACTGCAGGGCAAAAGTCGAATTAAGATACGCCAATTGCGCAGCTGAAGTTGAAATAGTTTAATTCAGCTTTTGGTGCTGTCTCCCCAGCAGGAAGTCAAAGGAAGAACATTCTTTCTTTAACTTCCCTTAGTCTTTGAGAAATGAAGGTTACAGGAGTCGGAGTAAGTTCTCCATCGTAACATTATTTCGAACTAACTGCTTGTTGTGTAGGCATGCACTGTGTTATTTCGAAATAATATCAGTTATTCCGAAATAATACTGCTGTGTAGACGTACCTTTAGGCTACATCTACATTGCATCCCTCTTGCACAAAAACCTATGCAAATGAAGTGTGGATTAGCATATTGCTGTGCTTCATTTGCATAATTAATTAGGGGGCTTTTTTGCACAAAATGCTTTTCCGCAAAAAGGAGCCATCTACACAGCTCCTTTTTGTGCAAAAATCCCCTCTTGCAAAAGAACAGTTCTTCCTCATTTTTTCAGGAAGAATGGTTCATGTGCAAGAGGGGTTTTTTGCACAGAAAGGAGCTATGTAGATGGCTCCACCAAACACCAAAATTATTTCTATGTAGATGGCTCCTTTTTGGGCAAAAGCCTCTTGCGCAAAACCACCCCCTAATTAATTATGCAAAAAAGCACTGCAATATGATAATCCGTGTTTCATTTGCATAGGCTTTTGCACAAGAGGGTTTCAATGTAGATGTAGCTTTAGAGACTAACAAAAATATATATAAAATCATGAGCTTTTGTGGGTAAAACCTACTTTATCAGCTGAGTTTGTTAATATATTGTTGCTCAGATTGCTTAGAAAAGATATCAGTGTCATTTTAAAAGAATAAGTTCATTGCAAAATGTTAATAGTTCATTGGTGTTTTATGAGGTCACCATGCTCACTCAGAGATAGTTTAATTATGAAACTTTTTTTTCACTGGCACTTCAAAATAATTTGCAAAGAGCAGTGTGTAACAGCAATATAGTCCTTTTCATAGGAGAACTGATTTTGTAAACTTCTTATTTCTAGGCTCGTTAAAAATTTTTTAAATGAGCAGTTGACAAAACCGCACAATTTTTAGCCCATTTAAAGTTGCTGGTTGTAGCAAATATATGAAGCTATATACTGTGTAGGCATCATATTCCACTTACTTTAAAGCAGGGGAGGGGAACCTCAAGCCCCAGAGGCTGAATGTGGCCCCCTGACTTGCATGAATCCAGCCCCTGAGGCTCAGGGTTCCCCTTCTCTCATTGGGGAGCCCGCACTTACTGAGGGACTGGAGCACACAAAATCTACTAGCCTGTGCCCCACTAGGCTCTGGTTTGCGGGGAGATTGTGGGGAGTGTCTTTCTTTCTTCACAGTCAGGGGCCACATCAATGAGAGTTTGGGTTTTTTTCTGGCTTCTCACTTATGTGTGGCCCCCAACTGATTTTTCTGTGGGTCAGTGGCCCTTGACTCAAAAAAGGATCCCCGCCCCTGCTTTAAAGTTTCACATTTACATCTGAGACTAAGACAAATGTATCTTTGAAGGGAAAAACAGCTAAAATGTAATTAACTAATGACACCTTTTTTAGCTACGATGTTTATATTTGCGGAGGGATAAATAATTTACTTACAGGGAGGGATAATTAATTTACTTAATCTTAAAATGATGCTGTGTCTTCAGTTGCAAAATTATTTCTCAGTTGACTAAGTTCTAATCAAATCTTGGGATAACAAATTTCCATAGGTTTTGTATTCAGCAGTGGAGCAATTAAGAAACAATTTGTTTATTTTTTTAAAAAACGAACATTATGTAACTCTTCTCTTTGTTATATGTCTTTCTTTCTCCTCAGACTTCCATTTCTTTCATGTTGCTTTCACTTGTTTATTATTTACTACACAAACAATACTAAGGTCTGTTTATGCTAGACAAATTGAATGTTGCCATTTGACCAGTTCAGGTAGTGTTGCAGCACTGTTGAGCAAGTTTGGGTAATGCCTCTTATTACGTTAGGATTAATGTGGACAGAAAACAGAACATTGAAACCATCCCATTGTAAACTGATGCTTTCAGTTCAGTTTCTGTGATGTTATACCCACCTATTAGGCAAATTATCTTCAGGAAACTCTGTCCAAAAATACCCACATCACTGGGCAGGCCCAGAGCAATAGAGATGTTACTCATTTGTTCTATGCTGGAAAACACCTCTTGTAGACCTAATGAATGCCCTGGCTTGCCACTGCCACATTTAGCAAAGAGGGTGGAGAGCAGAAGTAGCTGTGGTGCAGGAAGTCTTCCACAAGCACCTGCTCCCCCTGGATACTGGAACACCTCTCGATTGTGGAGAAAGACAGGAGGGGAAAGAAAAACATTATTTCGTCTTATAGAACTTGAGTATGCAGACCACGCTCAGTCATAACTTTGGCCTGCCAGTGCACACTGCAGTCTCCAGCTAACAGAAAGAAAAAGATCCATATCCTTGTATTCAGCTGAGAATGAGCTCTAGAACTCCCTGCCTAGGTGTGTCGGTGCTCCTGTGATCATCCTGGACTACAGGCAGTAGAGCAAATGTGATGGGGACGCTTCCTCGCCACCATCCATCATCATGTTTCTCTCTAGTTGTGTGAGAACTTAGCATTTATTTCTCAGTCAGGATGAAACCAATGACTGGACTAAATCAGGAAATTAGCACAGTTAAATATGAAGGGCATGCTACAGCTAGGAGCAGGTAGAAGGAAAGATGCTTTGCAAAACTTGCAGTGCATTAAGATAGTAACAGCAGAATGAAGTGCTATAAGTGGACACTTTACAGAAGCTAAGCTAGTGAAAGTGGACACACTGAATCACTGTGAGAATGGACAGTACTAGCAAAGCTTAGTGGCCATGCTTACCCATAAAATAGGCACTCTGCTAGTGCAGACAGACCTTTAGGCTTTGTGTTGTGACCCAGCACTAGAAATGTAAATGTTTCTAACTCTTCAAACCAATATTTAATTATTAACAGTTAACTCAACAATAATCACATACGAGCCTTCCTATTCCAGGTCAAATGGATTATCTCATTCATGGAGTGAAAGGATTCCAGACACAAAGCATATTTCGGACATCTGTGAAAATGGGAGACCTAGAAGTAACTCCTGGCAAGGTAAGAGAGAACCTTTGTACTGATTACAGTCAGAATCTGCCTGAAAGTCATCATCACTATGCTGACAATTTAACTGTTCTTTGGAAAGGAACAAAACTCCTAAAATTGTGCACATTTGGTTATTAACCTGGGAGTTCGGATTTAACAGCTCAACACACTTCTACGTTTTGCAGTATCACTCAAAGCAGATTTTGAATCCTCCAACTCTGAGGTGAATTATTCTACATCTGTGGCAATGGGCAAACTGCAATTTAAAATCAGTCATTTGAGTGTAAACCTGAAACTTGTATGCAGCATATATTCAAGTAAGAGGTACCCTTATCCAGATATAATGGCCCAAATTCTCTGCTGTGCTTATAGCAGGTGTGGGTAATAATTTTTTAAGGGGGGGGATCACTTTACAGATTTCCAAAGTGGTCGTGGGCCACCCTGGAGGGGGTGAGGTGTAGGACAGAAGGGGTAGGGCCTTTAAATAGCAGGAGTTGAAAGGGCTCATGCCTCCCCAGTGGTTTCCAGGAAACGCGTTAGCGGTGGAGCTGGGAGTTGCGAGCCCTTTCAGTTGCTTCTATTTAAAGGGCTTGCAGTGGCTGCAGGGAAGATGCAAGCTCTTCAAACAGAAGCAGTTGAAAGGGCTTCCGCCACTAACACGTTGCCTGGGAGACATGGGGAAGGTGCAAGCCCTTTAAACAGTAGGAGTTGAAAGGGCCTGCGCCTCCCTGGCAAATCCCAGGCAACTCGTTAGTGGCAGGATCAGGAGCTGCTGCAGGTCAGATGAAAGTGCTAGGTGGGCTGGATCTGGCCTGCTGACAGGCCTCTTGTCCAGCCCTGGCTTATAGGGAGGAAACCACAAGTGAGCCATTTACAGCTTCCCGAGTCTCTGAGGGTATGTCTACACTACCCTGCTAGTTCGAACTAGCGGGGTAATGTAGGCATACCGCACTTGCAAATGAAGCCCGGGATTTGAATTTCCCGGGCTTCATTTGCATAAGCGGGGCACCGCCATTTTTAAATCCCCACTCGTTCGAACCCCGTGCCGCACGGCTACACGCGGCACGAACTAGGTAGTTCGAATTAGGCTTCCTAGTTCGAACTACCGTTACTCCTCATTCCACGAGGAGTAACGGTAGTTCGAACTAGGAAGCTTAGTTCGAACTACCTAGTTCGTGCCGCGTGTAGCCGTGCGGCACGGGGTTCGAACGAGTGGGGATTTAAAAATGGCGGTGCCCCGCTTATGCAAATGAAGCCCGGGAAATTCAAATCCCGGGCTTCATTTACAAGTGCGGTATGCCTACATTACCCCGCTAGTTCGAACTAGCGGGGTAGTGTAGACATACCCTGACTGGTTTTATGCTGGCCACAGCTCATGCAGAGTTTAAAGCAATTTAAGCTCTTGTAGCTGGAAATGTTCCCCAAGAACTTGTCCACAAGCAAGTGATTATCTGAACATCCTTCAATCACTTCTCCTACCCATCTATACTAGCCTACATTCAAAGTCTGTAGGGATGGAGTCGGCCTGGGATGTAGATACACTGGATCTGTGTCCACTAGGGCGATATAGCTAATTCCGTTTTCTTTGTGCCTTTGACCAGAATGGGTGAGGCCTAAACATGCCACACCATTGATTGTAGTCAGTTTGCCTTGGAAAGGAATACCTGTGAGAATACAGGGAGGTGATACATCAGATGAAAAAAAATCAGAGCAAAATACCTCCTAGTTTTATTTTTGTATGAAAAATTAAGATTTTGAGCCCTCAAATTGAATTGCACACAAGAGCATCAGAGTGGTCCTACTGCAGCTTTTTAAAGAGAGAGACTAGGATGTATATTTAAGATCTTAACAATGAAGTAAATTCCTTTGGGATTTATTCCTGTGGCTTGAAATCAGCTAATCATGGTAAACAGGTTAAATATATCAAAAGAGGAAATACTATATTCTGGAAATACAATTCTGAGGACCAAATTTTTAAAGCTATATAGGCACCTAAAGATGCAGGCAGTCACTTAGGTTATGTCTACACAGTGACATTATTTTGAAATAACTATCGTTATTTCAAAATAACTTAGTTCACGTCTACACAGCAGGCAGTTACTTCTACATAATGTCGAAATACTGTCAAGCTGGAGGACTTCTTACTCCAACTCCTGTAACCCTCATTGTAAGGGAGTAACGGAAGTTAGAGGAAGCGTGCTTTATTTCAAAATAAGTGCTGTGTAGATGCTCTCCTGTTTGAAATAAGCTATTTTGAAATAAGCTGCACAATTGACGTAGCTCAATTTGCATAGCTTATTTCGAGTTAAGCTCTGATATGTAGACACACCCTAAGTGGGATTTTCAAAAAGTGCCTAAGCAGGTTAGGTACCTAACTCCCATTAACTTTAATGCTTAAATGTTTTTTAAAATTCCCACTAGGCAGCAATATGCATCTTGATGTGCTAACTACCTTGAAAACCTTCCCCTAAGTGTCTCTGATCACCAAGGACAAGTTCTAATACGAGATTATTACTAAAAATCCAAATTGTGGATTGTCTTAATTTCTCTTGCAGGGGGGAGGATAGAAACATCTCTGACTTTCCTGCATTGTTTAAAAGTCTGAGAGGGATAGATGTGTTGGTCTGTAACTAAAACAACTTAAAAAACAATTGTCCAGTAGCACATTAGGGACTAACAAAAATATATAAATAGTATCATGAGATTTCATGGGCAGAACCCCCTTTTTTAGATGACAAATGTAGACTAAGGGGCCCCGAGTTTGAAATATAAATCAGAAAAAAGAGGGGAAAGGGGGATGAGAGAGAAAGAAAGAGAGGGGGTGGGGGGAAACCCTGTCAATTAAAATATCCATGCTAAATAAAGCTAATAGACTAGGCTGTAAGTACTTGATTCTTAGCTTTTGATGTCATTTGGGTGTTGAATATAACGGCCCATTCAGTTCATGTCTTTGTTCATGCCATACAAGATAGTATCAAATTTGCATGCAAAGGCTAGTTCCACAGATTCTCTCTCTAGTTGACTCCTGAAATTGTTTTGCAAGGGAATAGCCACCTTTAAATCCATTAATGAGTGTCCGGGCAAGTTAAAAGATTTCTATATGTGTTACCATTATGAATATCTGATCTGTGTCCATTAATCCTTTGTTGTAGAGACTGTACAGTTTGGCCAGTATACATGGCAGAGGGGCATTGCTGACACTTGATGGCAGAGATGAGAGATCACATTAGTGAATGTGCAGTTGTATGAGCCTCTGATGTGGTGGCTTATGTGGTTAGGTCCTGTGATGATGTTGCTTGTGTAGCTGTGTGGACAGAGCTGGCACCGGAGTTTATTGCTGGGGTGGATTCTTGGATGAGTGTGTCTGAGGTGTTATGCGTGGTTGCTGGAAATAATTTGTTTTGGGTTAGGGGGTTATCTATAGGTGAGGATTGGCCTGTCCCCCAATGCCTCTGAGAGTGAAGGATTGTTTTCCAGCATAGGTTGCAGATTGTTAATAATTCTCTAGATGGGTTTAAGTTGGGGACTGTAGGCGATGACGAGTAGTATTCTGTTGTTTATTTTGTTGGGCCTATCTTGAAGCAGCTGATGTGGGGTACTCACCTGGCTCTGTCAATCTGTTTTTTTTTCACTTTCCCAGGTGGGTATTTAAGTTTTAAGAATGCCTGATAGAGATCCTGTAAGTGTTTGTCTATGTCTGTGGGATTGGAACAAATCCGGTTGCATCTTAAGGCCTGCCTGTAAACAATGGATCAGGTAATGTGTCCTGGATGAAAGCTAGAGGCATGTAGGTATGTATAATGCTTGATAGGCTTCCAGTATAAGGTGGTAGAAATGTGGCTATCATTTAACTGTACTATGGTGTCAAGCAAGTGGGTCTCTTGTGTGGACTGGTCTAGGCTAAGGTTGATGGTGTGTGGAAGTTGTTGAAATCCCTGTGGAATTCTTCAAGGGTATCCTTCCCGTGGGTCTATATGATTAAGATGTCATCAATGTAGCATAAGTAGAGTAAGAGTGCTAGGAATCTGAGGAAACATTGTTCGAGGTCAGCCATTACAATATTGGCATATTGTGAGGCCATGCAAGTGCCCATGGATGTGCCATTGACTTGAAGATATAAATTGTCCCCGAATTGGACATCATTGTGGGTGAGAATAAAATCACAAAGTTCAGTCACCAGGTGTGCAGTGGCGTCATCAGGGATAGTGTTTCTGACAGCCAGTAATCCATTATCGTGTAGAATGTTGGTATAAAGAGCTTCTACATACACGGTGGCCAGGATAGGGCATTTTCAGGAATATTACTGATGTTTGTAGTTTCCTCAGTTGGTGGTGTCTCGAAGGTAGCTAGGAGTGCTGGTAGCATAAGCATATGATGGTATAAAGGACATGAAAAATGTGGAGAAATCCACCGCAGATAAGCTCAGTGTTTCCAACCCTGGTGTTTGTCTTGTGAGTTTCACAATATGTAGTGTGTATCTGAGACCCCCAGCTCCTGGCAGGAGCTGACCGGGTGAGAATTTCAGCTTTTACTTTTTTTAAACTTAAATTCATCTCTCTCTCAGTTGCAGAGAAAAGCTTGAAAATATGACCCAGGTGCATCCTATGGACTCAGAAACCAGAATTCAAATAAACATAATAAAATGTATTATATTTTTTAAATGCTCATGATTTTTTGAAGAGGCCTCACTCATGTTTTTTGAATATCTGAAGATGCCGATATCATTAGTTTGGTGGGGAAGTAACATACAAGAATTATAAGCATTTTTGACATGCAGTACATGTAAGTTTCAAGATATTATTTGGTCTGCTTTTATCCTCTGATCTCTTTCAGGTAATATAGGAGGAAACAGAAAGAAAATCAGAGGCAAAAGATATAGGCCACGGTCTAATTCAACTGAGTAAGTCTGACTGACCCTTTTAACAGCAAAGCAGAAAAGAACAGTTTATAAACTAATGCTACTTTTATTTATATTGAGTCTTTTAAAGTAGAAACTATAGGCATTTCCTGCAGCCCACTCAAAGCACTCACTGGCAGTCTGGTAAATGTCTAACAAATGTGTTTTTAACCTCATATAATTTCTTTTAAAACAATTAACTATTACTTTTCTTCTTCACAGTCAGGCCTATAGCAAACCCTACCATTGGAGACAGCCTGCAACGTCACGACAGGCTCCTTTCTACAGTAAACTGCTATTGCTGAGTGTCCTGTTTCAGTAGTGAATTTCCGAGACCATATTTTCTTTTCTTTTCCCTCACCCCAGATGGCACCTCTGTAGAGGACACAGCTCCTTCTAGGGGCATACATTCCTATCTCTGACTCCCATCCCAGAGGTTTGAGGAAACTCACCATGCTTCGAGAACACACAGTTTATTGCATTAATCCATCATGTCTGACATAGAATATCTTCTCAAACCACTGGGATCAGAACTGTCCATGCGAAGTCTTTGCCATCATTTTCATTGACTTCAATGGGCTTGGGATCTGGTCCAGTCAGGGAAAAATAAAGAAATGGGCATGTAGGTATAATGTAAACATATTAGTAATTGAGCCCATTTGTAAAACTCTCCTATGTGTGCAAGCTTCACATAGATAGTTACAGAATTATTTAATTTGCTTTCTTGCCTTCTTTATTTTAATTTATTAAATACCTTTTATATGAAAGGATGGTAAATATCTGGAACCATAACCTATCATACGTTATCAAACATTTTCCAGTAATATTCCCTTATTGTTGTGCCACGTAAGAATGTATAGTTCTCTGACTGAGACAGAAATGATTATTTCTTCTTCCCGTGTTATCAGTACCAATGCATCTCCCGTGCTGGCAGAAGGTTTGATAATAATCCTGCTAGAAGCTAACACTGACAGATTTTCTGTTGGCTCTGCCTTTTTCAGCTAAAAGTTTTTGAGTTTATTTCAAAACGTGAGTGTTTCAAGTTCAATTGCATACATAGGTTTCTAAAACCAACATGTAGTTCTATGGCACCACAGTCCTGGTCTACACTAGGGAGTTATTTCAAAATAACTCCCCTTATTTCAAAATAATTAGTGAAGCGTCCCCACTACCAAGCCTGTTATTTCGAAATCTATACTGCTGTTTTCCTCAGGGAATAGTTAGGTATTTTGGGAGTTATTATTTCAAATATAGTATTTCGAAATGATTTCCTTGATGCCCTTAGAGACTAACAAATTGATACTATATATATATTGTGGGCAAAACCCACTTCATCAGATGAGCTGAAGAGGAATAACCTCACATAGTGAACCTTGTTACAAATTACAAAAATTAGTAGTTTGAGACCTGTAATAGCTACAGCATTGCATGGTCAAGAATGACTCTACAATATCAGTAACATTATTCCTAAATTCCTTTGAGGAGTTTATCTGTCCATTGACTCCAGCACCCCTCTGCCTTTAGTGATGATATACTCTTACTGGAATGTTGATTATTTGGTTTGACAATTGAATAGCCCATTTGACTAAACTGCGCAGAGTGCAGATGAGGTTGCAAGTTCTTCTTTAGAAACTCGCTTTGTGCTCTCTTTCTTAAAATAAGGCAGAAAAACACAGCATCAAATTCAGGGATGGGTGGTTGGTCCAGCCCTACCCCTTCTGCTGAGGCCCAGCCCCTTCTGAAACCAAGCTGCCTCCCTGCCCTGCCCCGCCCCCCCACTACCACAGGAAGGGGAGTGAACAGGCTTCAGCCTCCCTGATCCCAGAGCACTAAGGAGAGTGGGCGGTAAGTGGCTTCAGCCTCCCCAGCCTCAGAGCACGGGGCAGGTGGGCGGCACAGCCACAGCCTCCCTGACCCCAGAGCACCGGGGACAGTGAGCGGCCCATGACTCCAGCCTTGGAGCACGGGGAGGATGGCACTCAGGGCCAGCAACACACTGCCCCAGTATGCCTACAGTAGACATTTTGTGGGCGGAGTGTGGGCACAGCCAGGCTGCCATTTGGGAAGGCAATGCCTTCCCCACCTACAATACCGTCAGCCCATGAATTCAGACCTGCCACAACTCCATAAGAGTATGGTGATGTGTCTGCTTAACCAAAGCTGCATTTGGCCTATAGAAAACAGATCTTTTTTTTTTTTAACTCAGCCTCCATCTGGGAAGAGAATCCTATTTCTAATAAGGTTAAAGAGCAGAAGGCATCTCCTTCCCCTGTAATGGTAGCACCTGATGCTGAAGAGAGAGTCTCAGACTGCTGCAACGGAGGGTAGAGCAGCAATCTGTAGGGAGGGGATGGAGCATCTGTATTCCTAAAAGGTATCTTCCAGGCTGGGTGGGCTAGGGAGACACCCTTTCTGCTGAAGGTGTCTCATTTGGGAATGGGTAAGAGGTTGGTGATTGCAAAGGCGCCTTGTCAAGAATCTGCTCTGCAAGAAGATCAGCCATGAGGTGAGCAAGTTTCACAAAACCGTATCCTCCAAATCAACACTCCTGCAGTGAGGAGAGGAGAGAAGTGTATGGGGGCCCACGGAGAATATAATTAGGAATATGAAATCCCATTTTGAAAAGAACTAACCAGGAATGATCTGTTACTAACTGTGACTAAAAAACTTGTTGTTTAACAAAATGAGATGCCAGCTGTTTTCAGGATCATGCAACATTTTCAAGGCAAATTTACCTCATTAACTTCTCAGGTAAACATGGAAGAACCTTAATTAAATATATCCGGAGACAATGGATAGCATTTCGAATACTTTCCATGTGACATCTCAGAGCTGAATAATGCACACTCTGACGAGAAAACAAGACAACACCTCACTATTCTCTCCTATAAGTTAACAGGATCCATTGTAAACTGTTAAATCATTATGAGCCTTATTTATGCCATACTCTGAATGTGTGCAGAATTCAAGTTTTTCCACAGGCAGATGTACATTTCCTTTCACACCTATCTGATTTTTGCATGCACTTGCAGTTCTTGCATGCACAAATTAGATACATTATTTTGTGTGCACGGCTGTGCACCTGATTGGAATTTGGCTCACAGACTAAACTGTTTGTTTCCTTTGAATTTCTGAAGCACTGGGTAGTTTTTCAACTATATGACTCTCATTAAAATTAATAGGAGGCATATAGCAAGCATCTTGTGTAATTCCTGTAAAACATACCAGACATTCTTTTTGTGTGTGCCTTGAAATCTAACAGATTGTTTTTTTTGGTTGATGTAAGGCTGCTGATTAATGTCATAGCTCTAAAACTATTTGGTCAGTTTTAAATTGCTTCCAGATGAGTCAAAAAACCCTTGGGAATGTTTATTTAATGAAGTTACGTGGTTCACCCCATAAAAGGAAATGTTAACTAACAGGGTAGCATGTTCTTCCAAACCTTCTATAATGGGATTGATTAAGTGGTCTGATAAAGTAATAGTTTTCTGTTAAAATCAAGGAGTATTCTCCAAGAAAAGTAATACAGACTTTCTGATTAGTCTGAGAGTAAAATGGAGGCATGTTAAAACATGTCCTAATGAGATGTGTTTCTCCATTTAGCAGTAGTACTGGTTCTCATTAATTCATGTTACTGTTCCTCTAAGTGTGCATCTTCCTCATTGTTATAGTTGATATAAATATGATTTGGCTTAGATTTTTCTATTATATATTGTGTTTTTGCAGCAGGGTAACCCATGTATCTGAGCCTGGGCTTTCTCACGCCCACCAAATCCCGACCCAAGGCATAAGCCAAGGGGGTTCTCACCACCCCCAGACAGGGAATCGGGATCACAGGTCAGTTTCACCTGTTCCTTCTCTGGGCTGCCATTTTTATCCCATGAAAAGTACCTTCCCCTGAGTATTCAGTAATTTCACTGTGGCAAAACACTTTTGGCCGCTTGGAGGCGCTCCTGCTGATGCAGCGCTAGCTCGACCCTCCTCTTTGCCAGCCTGAGGTGTGAGATCACTCTGGGTCTTTTGCATTATTGCATGTTGCGCTACAAGCCAAATCAAGCCACTGTCTAGTTTTAGTCTTAGATTTAACAACAAATTTATTCCAAATGAGAATTTATCATTCAAAGTCATTTTGGATTTCAATGACGACTGATGCACAAATGACTACAAGGATCAATCAAAAAGCTTTCCCATGACAAGCTTTCTCATTCAGTGATCTGCAGTGATGTAATATAAACCTTTCTATATGCAGGAAGGAATAGAGGTTATTGATATGTAACTGGGCCTAGGAAGCTCACAAACATTATTGTACAACAACTGCATGTTTTGTTGCCATATTTTACATTTTAGTTTCAATTTTAAAAAGACAGATCAGGAGTGTTTCATGGTTATCAAAAGACCCCTTCAAATAAAAAGTGCAGGTTAAAAGTACTGCAGCTATGGCTGACTCCCCAGAAAATCTGTAGCCACATCAGCAGTTAAAACTGTATCAGCGGATCCAAATGGTACTGTCATTGGCCTGTTAATTTACTAGTACTTCATCTGTGGCTGCACCATAGCTTTTAACTTTTACTTTTCACTAAGAAGCCAGGTTGGAAAGCATAAAGCACTACTGATTTGTAATAAAGAAAGGCAAGTTAGAGGCAATTGTGGCTGAAGGGCATATACTTTTTGAGAAGCTGTGGCTGTGCTTATGCGGGGCAGGGAGATGAAGTTCCAGAACAAAAAAGGAGTTCTAAGGAGTTAAAAAAACAAAAACTGCACTGCATTTTAGACTGAATGGTTTGGAATATTGTAGAACATTTGTTTGTGTTTTCAAAAAAAAAAAAAAAAAAGAAAAGAAAAAAGAAAACTGGCCTAACTTATGCTCATAAAATCAATCCCTTGTTGAAATAGTTCACACACATGAGATCCAGGAGGCTGTTCACATAAGTAAGAGCTGTGGGGTTTGGTCCAAAGATATCTAAAGTAGATATTTTTTTAAAAAATGCTTTTTGTTGTTATATTTTATTTACTATTTCAGATTGTATTGATCCCTTTTACATAAATACACTGATAAAAATAAAGGTTAGACTATTGTATCAGAAATGCAGAATATAAATCGCACCAAACAAGTTGATTAGTTTCTATATCACATTTTATTGTTAACACTATAAAGGGAGAAGAGGAAAAGTTTCAGTACAATTTAGTGAACTTTCTATTGGTGGGTAAGGGAAGTTAGTTACAGAATTTTCAGCTGTTGAAATATTACTGCTAACCATGACATAAATTAATAATGTTGTATAGTTTGTATTTAACTTCAACTAATACGTACATGGTTTTTAAGTGGTTCTTTTGCTAATCAAGTTTTTACATTGTAAAATAGCAAATCAATTATGCAGCACTCTTTGTAATTTCACTAGATCACACACAATTATTAAAACCAAATTTCCTTCGCAATATAGGTATACAGAAATTGCCACCAGAAGTGACAAAAAGAGAGCATTTTAAATGGTGAGGTTGAAATTCATCCCTGTACAGAGGGATAGCTCAAGGCTCTTCTGCACTTAAAGCCTCCATCCTCTAATTCACTTCAGCTGGGCAGACACCTGCCCCAGCAGAGAGTAAATAGCAGGAGATGAGCAAAATCTCATCTCTATTTTGACAATGTCAGAGGTGCATAGACCTTGTGCTAATTGTTGCTCATCTGCATAGAGGTGAATGTCACCCTTAGGAGGTTCAATGAATGAGGCATCCCTAACAGTTCCTGTCTTATCTGCACTTGAGCCTTGTTGTAGTTCAGATTTTCTCATGCAGTTGTACACATTGCCTACTCCTCACCCAACATCCATACTGATTTATGTGCCATACTCACATGCATTTGGGGGATGATGACATCCTTGCTGAGCTTGTGCTGTGTGTTCTCAGATTTTCTATTCTTCTTCCTCTTCTTCTTTTGCCTTCTCTCTTCCTTCCATTGCTTTCTGCAGGTATTTAAACACCTGGTTCAAAAGAGAATATAATGTAGCTAAGTGGGTAGAAGATGTGAATAAAAACACTGAAGGACCATACTTTAGGTATTTTGTAAATTAATTCTATATCTTTTGTAAGAGCTGTTCCAGCATATATAAATATGTTGGGAGTCCTTTCTTGTATATATCAATACAAGTTATTGTAGGTACAAAAGGCTCCTGTTTATTTGCTGCCTTTTGATGTCTTTTTTTCTTTTTTCTTTTTTTGGCTTCATGTGCAGTTCCAGTTCTTTTTTTCTGAATGTTTTAATGAAGCCATTGAAAGGGGTGTTTGTAGTGCATGCAATCCCACCATCATCTATAGCTTTTAGTAGCTTTCTCTTCATTTTATGCCAAGTAGCGTTTTATGGGCATGAGACATATTTACCACCAATAAAATCATTTTAACCTAAATAGAATTTCATTTACTGAAGCAAGTGGTCTCACAACACATTTATTCTACCCACTGTCTATACAGTGCATACTGAGCTTAAATGGAAAGAAAAAGAAAAAGAATAAAAAGTAATGGAATTTTACCTTAAAATACAATGGGAAGGGAATAATTATTGTGACCAGAAAGAGAAAAATGAGAATATATTCTGCACTCTGAGGATCTAACTACCCCGGGTGTTTGGTATAAATGAGTATAAGATTCTACTAAAAATACTTTTTAAGGGGAAATTGTGAATTTAGTAGGTACCAAGTAAACAGAAAGAACTAGGCCAGCCTCTTTCTTTCACCTGAATAATGAGACTTTGATTTTTCGTATGGTGGGGGCAATTCTCCATTTCCCCCATACTCAAGTTAGAAATGAAGAGAGGGCAAAGTTACTTTAAGCCACTGTTTTATCTAGCATACAGAGGAGCCACAGGGTTGCTGTAATTTGTGCTTTGCTCCCATGGCCCCCTGTAGGATTCTGGAAGGTACAGAATAACTCACTTAGCTTTAGCTCTTCCCCTTCCCACCATTAACTCCCCCCGTACTCCATCACCACATTCCTATTCTGGAGGCTGGGAGCAAGGCCTGGGTACTTGCTTAGTTGTATAAGAGGTATTATCAGGGACACATTCCTTCTCCCTTTGCAATACCAGAATGGCATAAAGGGACTATAGTATAATTGTGAATCAGGCTCCATACGTCTCTCTCTACTTGAGAACTTGATCCTGCTATTCAAGAGCACAATATCAAAGCACGAAGTAGACACAATCTATGGAAATGTGATAAGACATTTAATTTATTAATTTCACGGTGCTTTGGAAAGAGCCGTTCTGATTTGTTAGTCATATTGTGTGCCATTAACATGATTGGCTCTCCGCAGTACCTCAGAAACAAAATGAATCCCATCGACCAACAATCATGAATAAAAAACATTTTAATAAGGCAGGAAAACTCAGAATCCTGCAATTATACTTTTAGTATTTTAAATTATATCTATAAACTCTTTCCATTACATCATCTACATGTTTCTTAGAACAGAGCAGATGATGATAAACTGCTCATGATAGTTAAGAACAAAGCAGACTGAAGATCTTCAACAAGATCTCATAAAATTAGGTGATTAGGCAACAAAATGACAAATGAATTTTAAAGATGATAAATGCAAAGTAATGCATATTGGAAACCAATATGCATACAACCCAACTATACATACAAAATGATGGCAACTAATTTAGCTATTACCACTCATGAGAGAGATCCTCGAGTCATTGTGGCTAGTTCTCTGAAAACATCCATTCAGTGTGCAGCAGCAGTCAAAAAAGCAAACAGGATGTTAGCAGTCATTCAAAAAGGGATAGAGAATAAGAAAGAGAATATCTTATTGCCACTATATAAATCCATGGTACACCTACATCTTGAATACTGTGTACTGATGTAGTCGCCTCATCTCAAAAAAAGATATATTGGCACTGGAAGAAGTTCAGAAAAGGGCAAGAAATGATTAGGGGTTTGGAACAGGTCGCATATGAAAAGAGATTAAAAAAACTGGGGCTTTTCATCTTAAAAAAGAGGAGACTAAGGGGGGATATGATAGAGGTCTATAAAATCATGACAGGTAGGGAGAAAGTGAATATGGAAACATTATTTACTTGTTTTCATAACATAGAAACTAGGGGTCACCAAATGAAACTAATAGGTAGTAGGTTTAAAACAAAGAAAAGGAAGTTTTTTTTCAGGCAGCACACAGTCAAACTGTGGAACTCCTTGCCAGAGGATATTGTGAAGACCAGGATTTTAACAGGGTTAAAAAAAGAACTAGATAAATTCATGGAGGTTAATTCCATCAATACTTATTAGCCAGAATGGTGTCCCTAGCCTCTGTTTGTTAGGGGCTGGAAATGGGTGACAGGAGAAGGATCACTTGATGACCTGTTCTGTTCTCTCTCCTTGGGGCATCTGGCATTGGCCATTGTTGGAAGACAGGATACTGGGCTTCATGGACCTTTGATCTGATCCAATATAGCTGTTCTTATGTTCTTAACAGCTGCATTTTGAAAACAAAAACAAAAAGATGTTTGTAGAAGCCAAAGATCTGGCTGAATTACCCTACTGCATATCTTTTCATTAAAAAAACTGGATGCTCTTAGCAGCTTGGTAGCATTAGAACATTTATCTTGTAATTACTGAAGCTTCAAACTTTAATTAGTTAGGCTAAGTTAGTCACTAGGCCAATATTTTGGCTTCAAATACCTTATGTCTCTTAAAACAAAAAACGACTATGTAGCACTTAAAAGACTAACAAGACGGTTTATTAGATGATGAGCTTTCGTGGGCCAGACCCACTTCCTCAGATCAAATAGTGGAAGAAAATTGGCACAACCATATATACCAAAGGATACAATCAAAAAAATGAACACATGAAAAGGACAAATCAAATTTCAGAACAGAAGGGGGATGAGGGGAGAGATAAATGTCTGTGAGCTAATGATATTAGAAGTGATAATTGGGGAAGCTATCTTTGAAATGGGTAAGATAATTAATGTCTTTGTTTAGACCTAGGCGTAAAGTGTCGAACAACAAGCGACACACAATCTCAGGCGTGCTGAACACTATGCCAGCCTGAGTCTCAAAAACAACCCGGACATTATAATCAAACCAGCTGACAAAAGGGGTGCTGTGGTCATTATGAATAAGGCCAACGATAACCTGGAGGCAACCAGACAATTCTCCAATACCACATTTTACAAACTTCTCTCTTCTGATCCCATCTCGGAATACCAACAGAAACTACACTGTCTCTTTAAAAGGCTCCCTACAACTACTCGGGAACAAATCCACACAGAAACACCTTCTGAACCCTGACCAGGATTGTTCTATCTGCTTCCCAAAATCCATAAACCTGGACATCCTGGACATCCCATCATCTCAGGTATCGGCACGCTCACTACTGGTTTATCCAGCTATGTAGACTCTCTTCTCAAACCTTACGCAACCAACACCCCCAGCTATCTCCGAGATACTACTGACTTCCTAAGGAAACTACAAAACATTGATAACCTCCCCAATAACACCATCCTTGCCGCCATGGACATAGAAGCTCTATACACCAACATCCCACATGAAGATGGATTGCAATTAGAAACACTATCCCAGAGGACACCACTGCCAATCTGATAGCAGACCTATGTAACTTTGTTCTCACCCACAATTATTTCCAGTTTGAGAACAACTTATACCTCCAGATCAGCGGCACAGCCATGGGTACACGCATGGCCCCACAGTATGCTAACATCTTTATGGCTGACCTAGAACAACGTTTCCTCAACTCCCGTCCCCTTTCACCCCTCCTCTACCTACGGTACATCGATGACATCTTTATGATCTGGACACATGGCCAAGAAACACTGGAGATATTCCACAGAGATTTCAACAACCTACACCCCACCATCAACCTCAGCCTGGACCATTCTACACGAGAGATCCACTTCCTGGACACCACCGTACAAATCAACAATGGAAAATTAGACACCACTCTCTACAGAAAACCCACCGACTCATACAGTTACCTACATGCATCCAGCTCCCATCCAGAACACACCACACGATCCATCGTCTATAACCAAGGCCTTCGATACAACCGCATCTGCTCTAACCCCACTGACAGAGACCAGAAGCTTCAGGATCTCTACCAAGCATTTATAAATCTCAACTACCCACCCAGAGAAACAAAAAAGCAAATTGAAAGAGCCAGACGAATACCTAGAAACCATCTACTTCAAGACAGACCCAAGAAAACCAACAATAGAACACCACTTGTCATCACCTACAACCCCCAACTTAAACCTGTCCAACACATTATCAATAAACTACAGCCTATATTGGAACAGGATACCATACTCAAAGAGGCTCTGGGAGACAGACCCATAGTCTCCTATAGACAACCACCTAACCTCAAGATGATTCTTACCAACCACCACAGGACATACCACACTAATACCAACCCTGGTACCTTCCCTTGCAACAAACCCCGTTGCCAGCTTTGTCCACATATTCATTCTGCTGATACCATTATTGGACCTAACCAAGTGAGTTATAAGATCAAGAACACATATTCCTGCGCATCCAGAAATATAATCTACGCTATCATGTGCCGAAAGTGTCCGTCTGCTATGTACATTGGACAAACATCTCAGACACTTCGCCAAAGGATTAATGCCCACAAAACAGATATCAGACAAGATCACAAAGAGAAAACAGTTTCTTGCCACTTTAACCAGAAAGGACACTCTCTAAATGACTTAGCCACCTGCATTCTGCTACAAAGACCTTTTACATCTGCACTTGAAAGGGAATCCTCTGAACTGTCATTCATGTTAAAATTCGACACTTACCAACAAGGACTTAACAAGTCTTTGAACTTTCTCACCCATTACCAAGACAGTTTCCCCAATTATCACCTGTAATACCATTAACTCACAAACATCCCACTCTCCCTACCTTTAATATCAGCAATTCACAGACACTTACCTTCCTTCCTCCCCCTTCCCACCCCCCCGCATCCCCCTTCTGTTCTGCAATGTGATTTGTCCTTTTCATATTTGTTCATTTTTTTAAATTGTATCCTTTGG